CCGTTGCGACTTCCGACTGATTTCGATAGAGCAGGTCACATATATTATATAGTGTATTGTATTATTAAGTAATATCATACATTAACCCCATTATAGCAGATGCCACATTGAATGGATGAACCCATGTATGCATCAATAATTACAACAGAGTATTTCTAAATACAAGCTGTAAAAATACTTATATGTATTTAATACTAATAACATAATGATTAATTTCAGATGATAATACTTTTCAGTGTCTGTCTCATGCAGCAGCTGGACCTGTAATTTACAGGAAAGGAGTGCGCGCTACTAAAGAGCATAGACTGTATATATAAAGAGACGCGCTACCATGGAAACCAAACAATGGTGTAGCTGTATTGAAGTCCGAGTGGAAACAGTAGCATTTGGAGCGTTATGTTTGAATGAAACAGCCAACTTACTCTTACTTCACTAACTGTAAGTTTGTCACTCAGAGTAACCTACAGTTAACTTAACTGCTGGAGAAGAAAGATCAGGGGGGGGGGAGAGAGCTGTGGTTGATGGGCCATTAGGTGTGTAAACACACAGCATTCAGACTGTTTAAAAAACGGTAACAACGGACTATTTTTCTTAGCGGATGCATGTCAATTTAAATCAATACATACAACTATTTTTTAAATTAATAAAAAAAATTCTAAATCCATAAAAGCATTTCAATTAATATTGGGAGTCATGTCGTTACTTTGTTGAGAATGTGACCATGTAATAAGCGGGATAATTTGCAGCGACTTGGTCATTGTGGGGAAAAATAACACCCAGGGATCCTGATCTGCCTGGCAAGGCTCCATTAAAATATAAATATTTTTAGTGAATTACTGAGTTTAGGCACGTTAATAACGTTTTAATGAAGTTGAATACAGAATATTCATATTTGTCAGTGATTTCATGTCAATTCGGCGAACATAAACATAAATGATCGTGGTGAAGATGATGATTAAATTAGGATTAAAAATCGAGAGCCGGCTGCATTTCCTCTCGTTCGTTTTTTTCGACTAAACAACATTATTTTGTTAAATAACAACATGGTGGTGTTTTGTAAATGATTACATGTCTTATTTAGCACAGACTATGATCCTATCCGTGACATCTGGATCTTAACCTGTTAAGCACCAAGCCTGTTTTTCATGTTTCAGGCTCGAAAATGACATGCCCAAAACAAATGACTACAACCTAACTTCTAAAAAGGTTATATGAATAATTTATTTTATCAAAGCAAGGTTACATCTGTGAGTTGGATGTAGAAGTGTCAGAATCAATATAAATGTTTTTTATTTTAAAGAAAATTCAGATTTTACATAGTAAAAAACTGTAAATTATAGTGTCCGTCCAAAAATTATTTTTTACAGATAGTGAAAACTACCCTTGGATGATGGGTTAGGAGACTAAAAGCTTTATGAATCCAAAGTACAACATATAATAAGTACCCTGTATCAAGATTGATGCAAAACAAGTGACATTTGACCTTTTTAGAAAGGTTTAGCCAAAACCACCCCACCTCTGAGGTGATTTGGGTGAAAATGTTTTTTTTTTCATATCTCTGGCCCCCCTTGCTCGATTTTGATGGTTGACACCTCTTTCTGACCGTTAGAGCCAATAGAATCGAAGGGGGAGGCTCACACACTATGAAGAGAAAAGGTGGGGGCTGCGCGCATGTAAATGTAGGGCAGAGTGGAGCTATCTCTCCCTCTGGAATTTGGAAACTAAAAAGCAGTTTTATTGCTTATGGATTATCAGAAATAATTTCAAAGAGGGCACAGATACATTGGATGAACCTATGGATTAACTGCAGCATCGTTTTTTTATCGTTTTAATGCCATTGAAGACCAGTTTTGACCAAGGTAAGCCATGTTAGCGTTTCTAGCTAGTTAGCTCCACATGTTATGATGTACGCTTTCGTTTATAGCGTCGCAAATGTTTATCACTGAGTGTTGAGGTTTTTTACACAGATTCAGTGTCTCCAGGACACCAAAAACGAGTGGTTCGCTGTGCATCTAGGATAAGTAATAAGGGAAGTATTGTGAGTTTAAGTGCCGTTTTAGGTTACATTTTTTCGCCGTGGGTAATTCAGAGGCTGAGTGCTAGCATTGTAGGGTTTTTTTGGAAAAAAAAATGAAAAAGATCAGTTAGCTGAGTTTCTTCCTGTTACATGGATATAAAACATTCATAGATTTATTAAATATTAAGATTCCTTAGACGTTGTTTCCTGCAAATGACGCGTTTATCCGCCCGGTACCGGGGGGGCCGTGCCCAACAGGTTAACAAAGATCCGCTATATTATTTAGCACAGACTATGATCCTATCCGTGACATATGGATCTTAACAAAGATCCGCTATACAGTAGTACCAGACATACTGTACATCCAGCGTACTGTATCGAAGTTGATTTTACATGAGCTCCAGTGTGGAACCCCACTGCACCCCCTGGTGGATCAATGATCCATTGCAGCTGGCTTCACAATAATTACATTTATTTATCACGGGGGCGGTCTCATGTCAGACTGGGGGCAGGCTCTTCATCACTGGCCTTTCACGGGCCGTTCACGGGCCGTGCACGGGCCGACCACGACCCTCGCGTTTCAAACTGTCCTAAATAAGCTGCTACATCTGTATATGTCTAAAATGTACAACATTGTTAGGAGATTTAAACTATTCTGCGATTCTGCACTGCGGTCAACTCAGCCGCCTCTCGAGTTTGTTTTTTCAAATCAGCTGCTCTTCATTATTTCTGCTATATTTGACGAGTGATACAAATATTTTTTGCCACAAGTTCTTAAGAAAACTGACTAGTTTGACTTTTACTGTGTACTTTGTGAGTAATCCTCTGTCAAAGTCCCCTCCATAGTAGGCTACATAATGCATGCTTTTCTGCTATCTTTGATGAATGATAAAAATACAATGTTACCATTAGTTCTTAATGAAATTGCTACTGTTTGACTTTGTATTAGTTAGCCTACTACTTGCAATACATTGAAATACTTTTACTGTGTATTTTTTGAGAAATACTCTGTCAAAGTCCCCTGCTGAGAACAAAATCAAGCCACTTCTACTGAGTTTGATGAGGGAATTATTGTTTGTTGCCATTAGTTCTTCATGAGATTGATCCTGTTGGACTCAGTACTAGTGTACAAAACATGTATTGTATACCTGTGGTGTTTATTTTTATTATTTTATTATCTTTGCTTTGTAATGCCTGTTGTAAAATGCCATTATATAATGTGTTTTTACAAGGGCTGTCAAGTTAACGCGTTAATAACGAGTTAATAACGTGCTAACGCAAAAAACAAATGTAACGCCACTAATTATTTTAACACGATTAACGCATGTGTATTTTTTGTCCTCGGCCGCCCCGTAGGTTCAGAGCGCATCGAGTTTAAAATACCATCTACAAGCTGATGCACATAGCTCCAACGATCCATCACAGTGTCTCCACATTCTCACACACACACACACACACACACACACACACACACACACACACACACACACACACACACACACACACACACACACACACAACACACACACACACACACACACACACACACACACACACACACACACACACACACACAACACACACACACACACACACACACACACACACACACACACACACACACACACACACACACACACACACACACACACACACACACACACACACACACACACACACACACACACACACACACAATTGTATGAGAGAGGTTCCAGGTTGAATTGAGGCGAATATTTGTAATGGTCAGAGGTTGTTGTGTTTAATATTCATGAGCATATTTGTCATTGTTCAAATTATATTAAACAAACATATAAAGCATATTTGTCCACTCATATGTTGATAAGAGTATTAACAACTTGAAAAGTATCCCTCTAAGGTACATTTAGAACAGATAAAAAATGTGCGATTAATTTGCGATTAATCGCGATTAACTATGGACAATCATGCGATTAATCGCGATTAAATATTTTAATCGACTGACAGCCCTAGTTTTTACTGTATTTATTCATAAAAAGTATTTTAATTTGTTTTGTAAAGCACTTTGAATTGTCGCGTACAGAAAAGTGCTATATAAATAAACTTGCCTTGCCTTGCCTTGCCTAGTGAAACTACCCCCACAAGTACTATGAAGTACTTACTGTGTACTTTTCCAATAATCCTCTGTCAATGTCCCCTCCTGAGAACAAGAATGCATGTTTCTCTGCTATTTTAAATAAGCGTTAAAAAACCTTTCTTCATGAGACTGATATTGTTGGACAGAGTATTTTAAGAGGATGGTAGACTTGTTATCAGCAATACTTCCAGTCAGTACTCCGGCAGCAGCATTTTATACCTTGGAAAGTCTTTAGAGACTGGTTGAATACAGTTTTGAAATGAAAAGAAAAATGCATTTTAAGAGCCTGGGTGATTTTGATGATACTTGCTTGTATTACATTCTTCACAAGACTACATGAAACTTATTAAGAATAATAAGAATATTTAGGGGTAGCCAGTCAGAAGTTTGTTTGGGCTCCTGATTATAACTAAAGGCAACTTATACCCTTAAAACTTTTTTTAGGCCCAAAATGGGGAAAATTTGTAGAAGTACGAAAGATAAAAACTAAACATGTTGTAGTGACTATCTGTTAAAAAGGTTTTCTCATTCAAATTAACGTACAGCTAGAGGCCACTGCTGCTCCATGTCAGTTCAGGTTGTAGAAAGGCAGTTAAGAAGTGAAACATTCAGGCAAGATTACCATTTAGTTTGATATTAATTCACAGTATTTTTGTTCATCATGGTGCCTCTCTCTTGCTCCGGTAAAAGAAAAAACAAGGTCCCTTCAAGGTGCATCACTTGACATTGACAGACCCACTACCTACCAAACCTGCCATTCACCGAATAAACGCTTTCTATGGTGCCAATAGCGTCTACAGGAATAAATGAAAAATATCAATTGAATGACATAGCTCCTTGACATGTTCTAGATTATTTAAACTATATTGAGCCCACCCCCCTCTCTAGAGATTGCTAAATATTTCTTCATTTGTTTCATCCTATCAGAATCAAACATAGACAATAACGCTGAGCTCCGGATTGTGTTGGTGGGGAAGACCGGAGCTGGGAAGAGCACCACAGGAAACACCATTTTCGGAAAAGAGTCCTTTAAATCAAAGTTCTCTGCTAAATCCATGACTGTAGACTGTTCTAAGGCCTTGGGTGAAGTTGATGGACAAAGAGTTAAGGTTATTGACACTACTGGTCTGTTTGACACCAAGATTGAAGAAGAGAAGACCAGAAAGGCCGTTGTGCAGAGCATTGCTTATGCTGCTCCTGGACCTCATGTCTTCCTGGTCGTCATCAAACTGGGCAGATTCACAAATGAAGAAAAGCAGACAGTGAAGAAGATTCAGGAAATCTTTGGAGAGGAAGCGAACAGATACAGCATGGTTCTCTTTACCCACGGTGACCAGCTCGAAGACCAAACTATCAAAGAGTTCTTGAAGGAAAGTGAAGAGCTGCAGGAACTTGTGGCCAGATGTAACGGCCAGTACCACGTCTTCAATAATAAGGTGAAGGATCGTTCTCAGGTCAAAGAGCTGCTCGAAAAGATCAGAAATATAACAGAGAGCAACGGAGGAAGCCATTATACCACAGAAATGTTCCAGAAGGCAGAGGAGGCCATAGAAGAGGAAAAACAGAGAATCATTGAAGAGAGAGAAGAAGAAATACGCAAACAGGAAGAGGAAATTCAAATGAGATTAGATCAAAAGTATGAGGAACAATTGAATAAAATCGAAGAGGATAGGGAGAGGTCAGAAAGGAAGAGAGAAGCTAATGAAAGAGAAATAGAGGAGGAGAGGAGGAGAATGAGAGATGAGGAGGAAAGGCAGAGAGAAGCTCATGAAAGAGAAATGGAGGAGGAGAGGAGGAGAATGAGAGAAGAGGATGAAAAGCTGAGAGAAGGTAACAAAAGAGACATGGAGGAGGAGAGGAGGAGAATGAGAGAAGAGGATGACAGGAAGAGAGAAGCTAATGAAAGAGAAATGGAGGACAGGAAAATGAGAGAAGAGGATGAAAGGAAGAGAGAATCTAATGAAAGAGAAATGGAGGAGAGGAGGAGAGAAGAGGAGGGAAGGCTAAAAGCAGCTAATGAAAGAGACATGGAGAAGGAGAAGAGGACAATGAGAGAAGAGGCGGAAAGGCAAACAGCAGCTAATGAAAGAGAAATGGAGGAGAAGAAGAGGAGAGAAGCTCATGAAAGAGAAATGGAGAAGGAGAGGAAGAAATTAAAAGAAGATAAGGATAGGCAAAAAGCAGCTCGTGAAAGAGAAATGGAGAAGGAGAGGAAGAAAATAAAAGAAGCTAAGGAAAAGAAAAAAGCAGCTAGTGAAAGAAAAATGGAGAAGGAGATGAGCAAAATAAAACAAGATGCGGAAAGGACAAAAGCAGCTTGTGAAAAAGAAATGGAGGAGGAATGTAGCAGAATAAAAGAAAAGGCCAGGGATGAGAACAAATCTTCTTCGTGGAACCTTTTTAAAAGAACTAAATAAATAGAAGTAAGCAGGTTTCCTTATACAGCCTGACCCTCTGGAATACCTCCTTGTTAATCTTCACAGCCCCCTTTTAGTTTTTGTTGTTTGATGTGATTTATAGTAACATCAGTTATTTCAGTGGTGAGTTACAATTACATACTAACAGGGTGACAGATTGTCAACAACCAAGATGTTAACATTCTAAACTATATTAATGTAATGTAAACTCATTTGTTCTTTGATAGCTTTTGCTTTTTTTTTTAAATAAAAAGTAGAATAGGAATATCATGAATTAATGCTTTTAAGATGTTATACGGATACGTTTTCTTTGGCTTTCCTGTAACTGGCGTAATGTTGGCTTTTTTCAAATGAAAGGTTAAAATCTATATATGCAATGAATGTTGTAATTCAATATGAAAAGGTTGGAACAGAAATGAATGTGTAAAGACAAACATAGTGATCAATAATGTCCTATAATAAAAGACTGTTGACTTCACATTGAGTGTGTTATGTGCTTCTGTTGTTTAATAAAGGACATAAAAGACAGTTTTAAGGGTCTATCTTATTAGAAATCACAGTATTATTCACAACTGGATCTAAATAAAAAAATGTCATGTCAGCTTTGGAGAGGAACTTTAAGGACAATCTGGTAAATACATTTGTTTGTAGCATGACAATTCTTCTGAAAACACAGCCAAGCAGTTTGCATCAACACATGTATCTAAAGGGATAAGTTATCTTGGAACTATTTATCTTTGCTTTAAACATGATAAGGGAAACCTGTGAGTTGGATGTAGAAAAGTCAGAATCAATATAGATTTTTGTTATTTTAAAGATAATTCAGATTGAACATAGTAAAAAAACGCTAAATTATAGTGTCCGTCCAAAAAATATGTTTTACTTATAGTGAAAACTACCCTTGGATGATGGTAAGGTAGACTAAAAGCTTTAGGAATCCTAAGTACAACATATAATAAGTACACTGTATCAAGATTGATGCAAAACAAGTGACATTTGACCTTTTTAGAGAGGTTTAGCAAAAGAAACTCCACCTCTGAGGTGATTTGGGTGGCAATGGGGGTTTTACCGTTTCTCTGGAACCCATTGGTCGATTTTGGTGATTGACATCTCTTTCTGACCGTCAGAGCCAATAGAATCGAAGGGGAATCTCCCCACTCACACACATGGTACAAAAAAAAGGTTGGGGCTTCGCGCATGCAGTTTTCTCTAGCTCTGATATCTGAAAACGGAAAAGCAGTTTTAATGCTTATGGATTATCAGAAATCATTTCAAAGGGACACAGACACATTAGATTAACCTATGGATTAACTTCATCAGCGTTTGTATCGTTTTAATGACATTGAAGACCACTTTGGAGAGACTACAGAGCCAAGGTAAACATTTTAGCATTTTTAGCTACCTCGCGTCACCTGTTTTGATGTCCGTTTTTGCTTATAACGTCGCAAATACGTATAATTCAGTGGAAATGTCGGTGTCAATCGATTCAGTGTCACCTCAGAATGTGAATCGATGTGTTGGATGTGGTGAAAAGATAAATAATAAGGTTTTGTGAGTGATTTTCGGTGCAGTAAGGTGTTAGCATTTTTCGCTCGTTGCTAATTCAGAGGCTCAGTGTTAGCATTGTGGGTTTTCTAAAAAAAAAAGATCAGTTAGATGAGTTTCTTCCCATTACATGGATATAAAACATTCATAGTTATATTAAATGAACATGCCCTCAGACATTGTTTCCTGCAAGATGTTGCGGCAGTGCCCCGGTACCGGGGTCTCTCGGGCTTAACCTGTTACGCACCGCCGCCCCGGTACCGGGCGGATAAACGCGTAATTTGCAGGAAACAACGTCTAAGGAATCTTAATATTTAATAAACTATGAATGTTTTATATCCATGTAACAGGAAGAAACTCAGCTAACTGATCTTTTTTAAAAAAAAAAATCCAAATAAAACCCCACAATGCTAACACTCAGCCTCTGAATTACCCACGACGAAAAAATGTAACCTAAAACTGCACCTAAACTCACTCATAACTCCCTTATTACTTATCCTAGATGCACAGCCAACCCCTCGTTTTGCATCTCCTGGAGACACAGAATCTGGGGGTGCCCACCTCAACAGTCAGTGATAAACATTTGCGACGCTATAAACAAAAGCGTACATCATAACATGTGGAGCTTGGTAGCTAGAAACGCTAACATGGCTTACCTTGGTCAAAACTGGTCTTCAATGGCATTAAAACGATAAAAAAAACGATGCTGCAGTTAATCCATAGGTTAATCCAATGTGTCTGTGTCCTCTTTGAAATTATTTCTGATAATCCATAAGCAATAAAACTGCTTTTTCGTTTCCAAATGTCAGAGCGAGAGATCGGTCCACTCTGCTGCAAAATTACATGTGCGAAGCCCCGACCGTTTGTTTTCACAACAAGTGTGTGTGGGGGCCTCCCCCTTCGATTCTATTGGCTCTAACGATCAGAAAGAGGTGTCAACTATCAAAATCGACCAAGGGGGGCCAGAGATATGGAAAAAAAACGATTTTCACCCAAATCACCTCAGAGGTGGGGTGGTTTTGGCTAAACCTCTCTAAAAAGGTCAAATGTCACTTGTTTTGCATCAATCTTGATACAGGGTACTTATTATATGTTGTACTTTGGATTCCTAAAGCTTTTAGTCTACTAACCCATCATCCAAGGGTAGTTTTCACTATAAGTAAAAAAGAATATTTGGACGGACACTATAATTTACAGTTTTTTACTATGTAAAATCAGAATTTTCTTTAAAGTAAAAAACATCTATATTGATTCTGACACTTCTACATCCAACTCACAGATGTAACCTTGCTTTGATAAAAGAAATTATTATATATATAACCCTTTTAGAAGTTAAGTTGTAGTCATTTGTTTTGGGCAGGTCATTTTCGAGCCTGAAACATGAAAAACAGGCTTGGTGCTTAACAGGTTAACAGGTTAACAGAGTAAGTACTGGAATAAAAAAAAAAAAACGCTCACAAGGAGGAAAAAACTAAGCATAACAAAAAGAGAACTTAAGATAAACTTAAACTAACAAAACAACAAAACCTAACAAGACTGGAAACGATCCTCTCTTTGCTGAGGCCTGGCACGACCACACGTGGGAACAAACACGAACTGACACAGGACAGGGGGGAGACAGGACTATTTAAACATGGGGGCAAACGCTGACGATGGCGGGAAAACACACAAAGTGAGGAAGTAACAGGGCCTGAAATGAGAGACAAGAGGGAAGTACAAAATAAAACAGGAAATGGAAAACGAGACACGACATGAAACACGGGGACTTAACTAGAGATGAATGAAATAAATAGACAGACCTGACATGACGTGAATAAACATGAAAACCTGACTAAACATGAAATGACAGACATAATACATAAACATAACTAACACATTTGACGAGACACAACAAAAGGCACTGTTTGGCAAATGCATTATCACTATTCTTAGATAATACACAATATTTGAAAACACTTTGAATACAAACAACCAAATGCATGTAGGAATGGACCCTGTACTGAACTTACAAACCTTACACGTGTAAGACTTTTTCATAAGCTTGCAGAGTACAGTTAGCTTAACTTGCTTTTTCACTAAGCGGCCTGACGTCGGACTGTCAAACTTTGGCTACGGTTACATAAATTAACTGACAAAATTGTTTGTATTAGTTACTTTCTTTGTCTCTTGAGTTACCAGGTCCATTGGGGGAGGTTACTTCCTGGTTCAGCAAAGGGCGTGGCCGAGCGATGAGGACTCATAAATACTGCAAGGAGCCAATTGGGACAGATTGGGACAAACCACCTGCTTCCATGTTAAAGGGGGGATTTGGGTTTTGTCAGTGTCCTTTGTGTTTTCTGTTACTATTAATTATCCCTTGGTTTCAACTTGGTTTGGCCAAGCCACTATATAGGTTCCTTGGTTTTTCTTTGTAGCAGGTCAGTTTGTTGAGTTAACACCTGTTAAGTTGATGCCATGTTTCTTTGAGGTATTTTCTGTTGACCTCTTTTATAGGCCTAGTTATTAGAAATTATCGATTTATGATGTTTTCTGTGGACTTTTGGGTAAATAAAAAACCCAGTTTATTTAAACCTTTCCTGTGTCTTGTTGTTCATACCCCTCACTGTTTATTCATCATTCAATTCATTCTATATTTTATAGTGTACATTACTTTTCACTTTACTGCTTTTTGCACTCCTGGTTAGAAGCTAAACTGCATTTCGTTATCTCAGTACCTGTAATATGTGCAATAACAATAAAGCTGAATCTAATCTTGAGCAGGAACAAATGTATTTACTTAGTACATATCTGACATTAACAATTAAACACATTTGTGCATTCTTTATAAATGCAAACTGGTCAAGACCACTGACGGAAGTAGTTTTGAAAAGTAATAAGTGGTTCTGTCTTTTACATGTAGGATTCAACCCCCCTTGTATTGATTTGTTTAAAAATGAACAGACCCTTGAGTCATTCATTTGTAGTGATATAATAATTGTGGGATTTCTATTGCATCCACTTCATCTGCAACGAAGAAAGCCAACGCAATTTCCGCCATTGCAAACCGAGTCAAGCCGACTCTGAGCTGTCCGACTTCAGGCAAGCTTTTTGAGACCTCCCCCCAGCTGCAATCGGCTATTCTCGTCTACTTTCGAGGCGAGCCGCAACTCATCTCAAACAAGCCTATTTTTTTCTGTTGACTGTTTTTGTCCCTATAGTTTGTCGTTAGTTTTTGTTTATTAAATATTGTCAGACTATATTACTTCGGTGTGGACTTTCTCTTTGAAAACGCGTCACAGCCTATAGCCAAACTTAGCCTCTCGGCGACTCAAACTGGACTGGGAATTGAGCCGCCACAATAATAATAAAATTGATGACTATTACCTTACTTTTGTCTATTTTTATTCCTCTGTGTTGCGTTTTTAAGGTGCAATGCCAAGACACATTCTTTGTATGAATCAGCATCACATTTGTAGTTCTTCCGGTTTGCAAAGACATACGGTCTTAAAAATATATATCTACTAAGTATATAAAATATCTAGTATAGCCAAACTAGTAATTACACTGCATCAAGATTATGTATATTAAGAAAAATATATAATTTAAGATATTTTAGATATTTTAGCTATTCTAGAAATGGGGTTTATTCGGTTGGTTCTTTCTTTTTTGGTTACTGTGATCTTCTACAGTACATTGTTGGTTACTGTGATCTTCTACAGTACATTGTTGGTTACTGTGAATATCTACAGTACATTGTTGGTTACTGTGAATATCTACAGTACATTGTTGGTTACTGTGAATATCTACAGTACATTGTTGGTTACTGTGAATATCTACAGGACATTGTTGGTTACTGTGAATATCTACAGTACATTGTTGGTTACTGTGAATATCTACAGTACATTGTTGGTTACTGTGATTATCTACAGTACATTGTTGGTTACTGTGAATATATACAGTACATTGTTGGTTACTGTGATTTTATACAGTACATTGTTGGTTACTGTGATTTTATACAGTTGGGACGTTACTACTGCTATTTCTACAGTAACTCCAGAGTTGCTGTAATTTTTGGTTGGAAACACGGTATTATACTCTAAAATGGTATACAGTAATTTACTGTGCACAAACACTGTAAATAACTGTGGATTTCACAGCCATTTTTTACAGTGTGCAGTTTCTGGAACATGTTCAATTCCCCTGCTTTGATTTATCAAATCAAATCAAATTTGTATATTTTTATTTATATAGCACATTTTTAAAACGATTTTTAGTCAAGCCAAAGTGCTGTACAAACAATAAAAAATACTTTACAATAAAGACACTTTACAACAAATACAACAGCACAGTTTGTACAGAATATCAGTATGAGAAAACGACACCCTCTGTCCTTAGACCCTCACAAGGAAAAACCTCCGGAGAAAGAACCCACAGTTTAAAGGGGAAAATGGGAGAAACCTCAGGGAGTTAACCATTGTAATAATTTAACGTTGAGTTGCATACTGAGGGAGATGGAGCCATTTTGAATAAACATGAAACTCTTTGGAGTTGATAGAGGCATGATCACTTGGAACTATTACTATTATATCCTTGTTCTTGAACCTTTGAGAAATAATTCCACACACAGAAAGCTAGAAGGAAACATAACACTCTAAAATGCTGCAGGGCGAAATATGTCCTTTCCTTCATATCTATGTGACAGGTGCTTTACCTGTACTCACAAATGTGTTAATGGTGTTGATATTGTCAATTAATCTTTAATGTTACAGTAAAAGTATTGGGTGTTAGTAGACATTAGTATGCATAAAAAAGTGACAGGTCACACCTACTACTACTTATGCTAATGGCCTCCTTTGTTCGAGGTGTTATAACATGCTGGTGTGATATCACACCTACATGTTACATCCTTATCACGTACAGGTGTGACATCCCCCCTGTCTCCCTCCCCTGTCTAGCGCTGCCCCCCTCCCCCCTCCACACACCCCTCCTTCTCCCCCCTCCTGACACCTCCTGATTTTGTTGTGATGCCAGAAGATAGTGAGGGGTGGAGTTAGGTAAAAAATAAATCTGTGCAAACTAGATAAAAGCCAGTCATTTCCACTCACCAAGTCACCTAAACTTTCAAAAAAGAAAATGGCAAAGAGACGCATCGATATAATAATAATAATAATAGCTTGCATTTATATAGCGCCTTTCAAGGGACCCAAGGTCGCTTTACAGTAATAGGGCCAAAAACAAACATAACAAAACAAAAAGGTCAGACAGCCAAAACAACAGATCGATTAGGGGCCGAAAGCCTTGGCAAACAGATGGGACTTGAGGGCCCTTTTGAAGGCGTCGAGTGTGGGGATGTTGCGAATCTCCGCAGGGAGAGCGTTCCAGAGGGTGGGGGCTGCCACACTGTAGGCTCTGTCCCCGAAGGTTCGCAGTTTGGTGCGGGTGGTGGTAAGCAGGCCAGAGTCTGAGGACCGCAGGTTCCGGGGTGGGGCATGTGGGTGAAGGATGTCCGATAGGTACTGGGGGGCAAGGGCATGGAGGGACTTGTAGGTAAGGAGGAGTACTTTGTAAGATATACGGGACTTGACCGGCAACCAGTGTAGGTGGATGAGGGTGGGAGTGATGTGCTGCCACGGCTTTGTGTGTGTGAGTACCCTAGCAGCACAGTTTTGGACATACTGGAGCCTGTCCAGGTTTTTTTTGGGAACCCCGAACAGGACACCATTGCAGTAGTCCAAGCGGGTGGTGACAAATGCATGTACTAGGGTTTCGGCAACCGACTCCGAGAGTGACGGTCGGAGTCTGGCAATGTTCCTCAGGTGGAAAAAGGCCGATTTGTTCACAGATTTGATGTGGGAATGGAAGGAAAGGGTGGAGTCAAGGATGACACCCAGGTTGTGGGCTTCAGGAGATGGGGAGATGGACAGGGTGCGTACGGGTGCTGGAAATCCTTCAAAATGCTTGACATTGTACGAGGTGTTTTCAAGGTTTGAAAAGTGCTTGCATTTTGGGAATTGTGCTTGAATTTGGGATAAAGCGCTTGAAATTGTAAATGCTTTATTTCGATTTTTAGATTAAAAGAAAATAAAGAAGTCAGAGTGCGCTTAATTGCTTCGCTTTTACATAAAACAGCTCCGCTTCGGCCTTCCCGCGCTATGCGCGTGACCTGCAAGTGTTTGTTTTACGTGTGACCTGGGCATTCTGATGAGAGTGATAGATGACAGTATGCCAGGAGGTTGCAGGTTCAACGAGCGTTGGCTAGCAGAAGACAAATACAAGACATGGCTAAGACGAGGGTCAAGCCCACGAGTAGCCTCCTGCAAAGTTTGCAAAAAATAACGATGGGAGAGTCTGCGCTGACGGGCCACATGAAAGGTACGCCGTAGTAGAGCATTTTAGATTAGGCTAACGTGCATGTTACGTTTGTTTAAGCTAACGTTAGCAAGCTGAATAGCGAACTCGATGAGGGATAATAATAATTGCAGGGGACAAACAGTTACAGAGTTACAGTCGCCATCCTGTGGTGTTCAGAGGGTGAAGCACTCACTGTTGTAATTCAACCCAGTCTCACGGCATTTCGTGTTTTAGTCACGAAATATAATCTATTGATTCGACACAGAGCGATTTTAAAAGCAATGTATTTCTACTGGTAGTATGTTTCGTGCCTAAACCAAATGTGACTTGCTCTATCGAAATCAGTCATATTGACCCGAACTTCCCGAAGACACATTTTCATTTGTATTACTGGTCTAGGGGAAGCTCGCGAGTGTGTGTGTTTGTGTATTTTTGCGTTTGTATGTAGGCCTATTGTGTTTGTGTACCGGGGAAACACTCACAAGAAACACCGGCTGTTGTTATGCTTGTTCTGATGTTAAATTACTCCATTCTCCGCTTTTAATTATGCCGTTACAAGCTTCAAAGTTGTATTTATCATCTGAATTTGCTGAAACAAGTTTAATATTCTGAAAGCCAATACTTTCAAACTGTCCCGGACCCTGTCGTGTTATCTATGATTACTATACGCCTTTACTTCATAATTTCAGCCGGAGGGAGGGGGAGCGGCGCTGCGGGAGAGCAGGGTGCGAATTGAGAGGTGCCTCTTCTTCCCTTTACAAGCTGTTATAAATTATAAACTGAGGATTTGACCGCGTCGCTATGGTTGATACTTTTAGAAACAGGCTTTAATATAACATCTTGAAGTATTATACAAGTAAAACTACATTTAGCTTTAATCCCATGTAATTGTAGAATGAACACAGTCTTCCTTTGAAGATTTATAAGTCAGGTGTCTTGAGTAGTCAACATTACCAACAAATCATTGTACACATTTGTAAATATTATTTTCCACTTGTTACAATTGTGAGTCTATTTGTATGCAGCTCTGCGTGATTTTGTGGCTACAATTCAGGCTAATACGCTACCAGAGGTGGAATAAGTACTCAGATGTTGTACTTGAGTAGAAGTACTCATATCTTGTACTTGAGTAGAAGTGCTCAGATATTGTACTTGAGTAAAAGTAGAAGTACTCAGATCTTGTACTTGAGTACCAGAGTGTAGGAATACTCTGTTACAGTAAAAGTCCTGCATTCAAAATGTTCCTCAAGTAAAAGTAGAAAAGTATTATCATCAAAATATAGTTAAAGTAGCGACAGTAAAAGTAGTCATTGTGCAAATTGGTCCATTTCAGAATAATATATATGATATGTTTTATAATTATTGATCATTAAAGTGTTCTCAAAGCTGGTAAAGGTGCAGCTAGTTTGAATGACTTTGTATACTGCAGGGTAGCTTGTGAATTTACTCCAGGTGGAACTAAAGTCTGATTTAACACTTGGTTATATTTCACATCATTCATCCACATCTGTAAAGTAACTAAAGGTATTAAATACATGTAGTGGAGTAAAAGTACACCATTTACCTCTGACTTATGTTTACTGTGGAGGAAACTTCTGTGTAGTAATGCATGGAGTCACCGACTCAGGAAGGAGACACGGTGAGAGTTGGAGCTTTGATGTCAAACACTGATGGGTTTATTCAGAGTATTCGGCCGGAGGATTCACATCACAAATCAAAGAGTCAGAGGTTCTGACCACACGGTAGAGTTGCCACGTCAATTCTGAAGAACCTCTCTCTATGCTAGACCTTTTAACAGGTTCACAGAGAATCAACATCTCTGAAGGAGTAGACTAAACACTGAATCATCTGCGTCCAACGCTCATGGCCTCAAGGATTTCACATCCGAGAGCCCACAAACACCGATAAAGAAATGCTTCAGTGTTCTCACAACAATTACCCTACGTGCCAGTCAAGTTGACCGGTCTCACACTGGGGACAACAACACATATGGCACCAAGGCCTTTCCTTAGAGGAGATAACATATGTCAGAGTAAAAGGTTAGATATCTAGAAGAATTATTCCTTAACAGTTCCTCTCTTTTTATCATTTTTGATAACCTTAAAACATTAGTCTAATAATTCTGGTCAATACTTAAATCAATCTTCAGATTCGAGTGTGGTCTCACCTTACATTCAATTACATCACAAAGTAGAATAAGATTGAAACATTCAATCACAATGATTGATACAGCCAATCATAATAGGAACAATTATCTCTCATCAGTGTTTGGAGCATCTTTTGTCAAAAGCATAATAATGAACACACATAAAACACAGATACATAATAGCAAAATATTTGTTTTAAACTAATATCTTTTATCATTTAAACCATTAGTTAATGTCATTTATCAAACTATAAAATCAAAACCAGAAACAGCTTAAAGATTTGCTTTAAGGCAATCACTAGTCAAAAGCATTTCAAACTTAGGATCATCAGAGATCCAGCTAAGGCATAACATTCACAGTGGTGATTTGATCAATCTGTAATCCACAAAGTTGCAGTGTCCTCAATTTTAGGATTACTTTATGTTTACTTCATTACGCTTTAGTCAAGAGTAAGGCACTTAGTCTTAGAAAAATCAATACATTCATTTTAATCAAATACAGTGTTCAAAATCTGAAAAGGAAAAATCAGATATTTGTCGTGTAGTGTAACAACCTGAAAGGGAAAAGTCAAAATATATTTTCTTTAATCTCAGCATCAATTTTAATTCATTGGTCATTGTAAGGGGGAACCCATGGTTCGGAAACCACGGCAGTGACCCACGGGTCTGGAAGCTCGGCGTCGTACATCATCACGGTGTCATCAACGGTGGTGTACCCCACTAGTCTCTGTGGGGCCTGGAGGGCGACTTTGGTAATCTTTCGCAGGACTAGTTTAACTACACTGACTAGGCATATTATCAGGATTAGCACACCTAGGATAAACACTGAAATGGTAACAATGAATTTTACAATCCCTCCTCCCCATGACCCAAATGTTCCAGTTAAATCCCCAAATGCAAACCCATGAGTTTCGTGCAATTCTTTTATTCCCCTAGCAGTATCATGAGCCATATCCATGACCTCAGGTGTGGCATCAGAGATGAAAGAACAACACTCAGATCCAATCACCTTGCATGTACCCCCCTGTGCTGCTAGTAGAAGATCCTGTGCCATGCGATTCTGTAATGCCACTGTTCTAACTTCCTGCAGTTCTTTGTGTTCAGCTAACATGGCTGTGTTGGACACATTAAGGTGCTTCTCCACAACCTTGGAGAGAGCTATAATTTCCTGCTGGGAAACATAAATACCGTACCAGGGCAGAAATGCGCTAGCCAGCTGCTGACCTGTTGTGATGGTTCTACGAGTTCTGTGTAGGGCAGGGAATATTGCTGCAATCTCCTCAGTCTCTACTTTACGGATCAAAGGGATTAGATAGGCTAGATAACAGGTGCCATCAAAAGTATCATAAGGCATGCAACCGTAGGCTCTGTTCCCACAAACCAAGTAAACCCTCTCTGGAAGGGGAGTTCTGGTTAACTTGATCTTTACTACGGTGTTACAGTCGCTGTGGCCCACATCGTTAGAGGGCGAAAACCCTCCTACGCTCTGGAAACAGATGGACACATTCTTCCACTCA